TATTGGATTCAAAATGTATAAACAAGTATATTTCTAATATAATAGACACAGATAGATACAGCAGTACTTTTACATGGACGTGTGTGTGTGTGTGTGTGTGTGTGTGTGTGTGTGTGTGCTGATAAATGCATAGATGGGTGGGTGGGTAAGTGGTTGCGTAGACGGATACATGGATAAGTGGTTAGATGATTAAGTGGGTGGATGGATAGTTGGGTGATTAGGTGGATAGATGGATAGATAGTTGGGTGACAGTGGTTAGGTGATTGGGTGGATGAACAGATGGACTAGACAGATGTGGATAAGTGGTTGGGTGACTGGGTGAATGGAAGGGCAGTTGAGTGATATGGCGGATGGACATGGTATATGGTTAAATGTACGTGGATGGATAGGTGGGTGGGTGGTTGGTTGGATAAATGAATGGATGGGTGATTGGACTGATGGACAGATGGAGTGATGGATGGATAGATGGAGGGATGGATGGACAGATGAATGGGTGGTTGGGTGATTAGGAGAATGGATGAATGAATGGATGGGTGGTTGGGTGGATGAGTGGGTGACTGGATGGATGATGAATGGATGAATGAATGGGTGATTGGATAGATGGACAGATGAATGGGTGGTTTGGTAATTAGGTGAATGGATGGATAAATGAATGGGGGTCAGGTGGGTGGATGGATTGATGGTAGCTGGGTGATTGGTTGGATGGAAGAATAGATGGGTGATTGAATAAAGAAGGATGGATGGTTGGATGAAAGAATGAAGGATAGAAGGATGGATGGATGGATGAACAGATGAACGGACAGACGAATGGGTGGTTGGGTGATAAGGTGAATGAATGAATGGATGGGTATCTGGATGAATGGATGGGTGGCTGGGTTATTAGCTGGATGAAAGAATGGTTAAGTATTAACTGGATAAATGGAGGGATGGATGGGTGATTGGATGGATGGATGGATGGATGGATGGATGGATGGATGGATGGATGAATGGACAGACAGAGAGATGAATGGGTGGTTGGGTGATTGGATGGACGGACAGATGAATGTGTGGTTGGGTGACTGGACGGATGGACAGATGAATGGGTGGTTGGGTGATTAGGTGGATGGATGAATTGATGGATGGATGGCTGGATGAATGGATGGGTAGTTGATTAGTTAGATGGAAGAATGGATAAGTAACTGGATAAATGAAGGGATGGATGGTTGGATGGGTGACCAGATGGATGGATGGACGGATGGACAGATGAATGGGTGGTTGGGTGATTGGATGGATGGATGGATGGATGGACGGATGGATGGATGGATGGATGGATGATTGGGTAGATGGAGGGTGGTTGGGTGGATGAACAATGGGTGGTTAGGTGGATAGATGGATGCATAGATAGATGGGTGGATGGGTGAATTGATGGCATTCATATGTTTTCTAACTCTGTCTGCTCAAAGGGCCTAGAAGCAGTGACACCTCACAAACAAACAAAACTCTGAAAACCCAGGTCTTTAAAATTCTGAACACCATACAACACTACAAGGAACCATCCCACTTAGTGATACGGGTTATCCCAGGGTAGGCAGGAAAAGTACAAAATGAGCCTGGAACAAGTGCTCAAAGGACAATATGGACAGATCAGAATGACACAGAAAAAAGCTCCTTCTGGCCAAGTCTGAACAATTTAAGAATCAAAAGAGAATATCAAATTATAACCCACTGACATAAGATTTCATAAATTCATACTGATATAAACAAATACAAGAGAAAGGAAAAAAAGCTCATTCTTATGGTAGAAAGCCACCTAATAATGGAAATAGTTGATCATCAACACAGTGCTGGCTGCTATGTGCAGAAATCCTTAGTGGAAACTATGGCTGTGAGAAGTCTGATGAGGAAGAGAGACTAGTATTCTATTAGAATATCTCCCCACGAAATGTGCAGCAAAGATCAGTTTTTTAAATGGTGACTGTGCATTGGAGAAACGCTGCAGATGCCAATCTGACCAAGTGGCCAAGACGAGTATTACTCTTAGCTGGAGGGGTCAACATCCTTTGTCCACTGCGATGACACCCAGAGAAGAACATGCACTGCCAAAAATGCATGGCCTGAGTCAGCCCACGAGAACTGGGGGCATCCGGAAGTAGAGGACCATCTAAAGAATGAAAGGCCTGTACTCTTTAAGTATGTCAAAGACATTAACGCAGAGAAAGACTAAAGAATGTTCCACTTTAAAGGAGACTGACTGATAAGACATGTTGATTAAATGTAGGGCACACTGCTGGACAGTGCCCCAGACCAGGAAAGAGAAAGAGGCATTGCTGGAACACTTAGGGTAATAGCAGCAGGGTCTAAGGATAGGATAGTCACATTGTATCAATGGTGCTTTGCTGACTGGAGAGAGAGGTGGTGGGGAGAGAGGGTGGAGCAACGTGGTGAAATTCTACAACTTAGGAAATCTGGGTCGAGGCAGTGCAGGAGTTTTCTGTGGTATTCTACCACTCTTTCCAGTAGCCCTGAAACTATTTAAAAATGTAAGTAATGTAAGAGGCAAAATAATTCATTATGTTCAACTCAAAATCCTTTCAGTTCATCCAGTTCAAATTACTGTCTCCTTGAGTTTATAGCTCAGTTGCAAACATGTTCTTAGGCTAAAATTCAATCAAAGACCTCAGTCTGAGAGGCTGTTTACTTCCCATCAAATTATTTTGAGTTAATAGTACTAATGTAAATCAAATAAAGCTACACCACAGGTAAATGTAAGCTCCTCTGCCAAGATGTTCCATTTTCATAGAATGTACTGGTAACAATCAGGAGATTCTGTACTTAACGAAAACTACCAACGGCAACAAGAAGACTGAAAAAGCCAGTTGGAGGATGACAATGGCTGGGTCAAGGTGATTCTGGTGTAAGTTATGCACAGGCAAAGACTGCATTCCCAGGGCCTGCCAATCATCTTGTGAATGGAGGCTATTCAATCCCATCTTGGTCTGGCAAGAGCAAGGGCATGCAGACAGCTGTCTGCAAGCCCACCACTGCACTCACAGAACAGCTTCAAAGCAAGAGATTCACGTTAGCAGATGAGTGAAGGCCTCATTACATGTGTAACTGGGTCACTTGGTTTCTGTGTTATAGGTCAAAATTAGACAATGCACAGAGATGACACATCAAGGAAAAGAACTTGACAGTTTTTAGAAGTGACAATCCTCACGAGCCAATGTGATTTAAAAAATTACAAATGTGTTCAATTTCCAATCTTACTATAGAACAGGCTATCACTTATTTAGATAGTTTCCAACAGACTAGACAACCAAATTAATTAAGAAATATTGGTGTAAAATTAAGAAACAATAAAGTTGACTATTTTTTCATTCTACAGGCAACAGGAAATGCTGCCTGAAAAAAACGGAATCTTATTTGGCTAAGGTGACTAGGAAAAAAAAAAAATATCAACTGCTGTGGGAAAGAGGACTGCTCACATTCTGAAGCAAATATACAGTTAGACATGACGTGGTATCAGGGATGGATTTTGAGAAATGAATCATTAGGCAACTTTGTCCTTGTGTGAACGTCACAAAGTGCACTTTCACAAAGCTAGATGATACAGCCCACACACCTAGGCTATATGGAGCAGCCCATTGCTCCTAGGCTACAAACCTGTACAGCATGTTACTGTACTGAATACTGTCAGCAACTGTACCACAATGCTAAGTATTTATGTCTCTAAACATAGAAAAAGTACAGTAAAAATACAGTATTATAATCTTATAGGACCACTGTCTTATTTGCAGTTCCCTCATTGATCAAAATGTCCTTAAGAGATGCAAAACTGTAGCAGCAAACTGCACATCCATTTAATTCGCTCATGGACACTAGGTGGGGGTCAAGAGACCCAGGCCCAAGGACATCAGAGTGACAACTGGGCAGTGAAGCACAACAGGAAATGTCGGAATGAAATGTAAATGGCCAGTTTCTTCCTAACAACTTTGACAAGTATGGATGTGTTTGGATCAAGATTTAGATTTAAACACAGAAAACATTTATTAAACATCTACACTGCCCAGCACTCTTCGTGGTACTCTGAAACTCTTACAGAAGCCTTATGATGATCTCTCATATTAACTAGCACATTGTAGATATAGATGCTTCTTACTCAGGGAGAAAACCTTGCAGAAAAGCAAGCACAAGGAATTCCTGTCTACGCCCCTCCCCTTCACCTCCAGGAACACAGCTGTTATCACAAAGGCAGGCTGGTTTCAAGAGACAGATGAAAAAGGTATGGGCAAAGGTGGTACTCGTCAACCCATCTAAAGTTTTCAAGCAGCTACCACGTGGTCTGGCACAGAGGTGGCAGAGGGTGGTGACTGAAAACATGGAGCCTGCCTGCCTGGGCTTATACCCTGCTCCACCAACTGCTGACTTGGCACAGTCATTATCTCTGTGACTCAGTTTCTTCATTTGTAACAGCAGGGACAGATACAGTATGTGAGCATTAAGTAAGTCATTATGTAAAGTCCTTACAACACCGTCTGGCATAGAAGGCTGCAGAAAATAAAACAGGGATTTAATGAGTAAATAATGTAACATACCCTTAAGTAATAAAGAAAATGTTACCTTTAGATTTCTAAAATAGACAAATGTGTGCCTTGCAATCCAGACCATCTTCTCTAAAAGGCTTCATTTAGGAAGATTAAATCGAGTTTGACTAGACTGAAGAGCACACAAAATACACATTTCTTAAAAACGTGTAGAAAAAAAGACTAAGCTTTTCTTGATTTTTAAGCTAAGCACATAAGCGCTCTAATGGAAAGGCTACTGCCTGTTCACCATCCTGCCTCCTCTGGTGCCCCACCCCACCCCACACACAGGAGTTCAAATGTTGAACAATTAAACAGCAGTCTAACTCGAAATCTATATGCTTTTTCTGGGCTACTCAAATGTTTTTTTCCAGCTTCCAGTGTGCTATAACGCAAAAATGATGTTGCCTTGCAACTGAAGTAAAATTGGCCACTTACCTCAGAATAGGCAAGAGTGATATGTTCATATATTCCCTGGTGGTGATGAATGGCATCTTCTAGATCCTGCAGCTCTGAGGGAAGGTCTACCTCACCGCAAGCTTTACACCACGAATCCACGTTGCTCATATACTTGGAAGGTTAAAAAAAGATGATTTTTATCATTGACAATTTATGCTGTGAAGCAAACATTTTTAATATGGTTTTGAAAATTAGGGGAGTTGAGGGAGCTCCTAAGAATGTAACATGCCTGACTCTCCATCTCAAATGGCATCCTCAACTCACTTGAGACTCCTGGACTTCACTCAAAGGGTGGATTCCAGGAGGACTGGGGCAAGTCCCAGGAATCTGCCTCAACCGACTGCTGCCCAGGTCTGGGAGCACCCCTGGAGCAATGCAGCCCTGTTTGGGCATTCTGGTGCATTTTCCCAATCCACCTTTGAATCCACATTTCTTTTTTGAGACGGAGTTTCGCTCTTGTTACCCAGGCTGGAGTACAATGGCGCATCTCGGCTTACCGCAACCTCCGCCCCCTGGGTTCAGGCAATTCTCCTGCCTCAGCCTCCTGAGTAGCTGGGATTACAGGCACATGCCACCATGCCCAGCTAATTTTTTGTATTTTTAGTAGAGACGGGGTTTCACCATGTTGACCAGGATGGTCTGGATCTCTTGACCTCGTGATCCACACACCTCGGCCTCCCAAAGTGCTGGGATTACAGGCTTGAGCCACCACGCCCAGCCTTGAATCCACATTTGTAATTGCCCTGCACTCCTAGCAAGGGAGGGGGCAAAGATGACTCCCCCACGTGCCCCTCAACTAGGGCTCAACAGTAGGATACTCCTCCTCCATGCAGCTGTTTGTCAGCCTTACTCCCTTCCTTTTACATTAAGATGTAATGGAAAAAGTTCCAGATATCTAAAAATCATTTATCTGAAATTAGGAAGAGCAGCCAGTCCATTCTGCTAATGTTTAAAAAAAAAATTGAAACCAGAATTAAAAGGAGATGAAGAAAAAAGAGCCTAAACTTCTCTGCGAATCTTAGGAAAGGCTTAAGGAGGCAGAGGCATCATTCCTGTCTTCCCCAAATTGCATGGAAATATATGGAAAGCCTGAGCCATGTGAACAGTCCTGCGGCTGCCATCCCAAACCTGGCTCAATTTCCCCCACTGCCACCCCTCCACCTATATCCAGGACTTATCAACAGTCCTGGCTGCCAATGTAGAGGGAAGATCCCATAGGTGCAGAAGCCTGAAGCCTCAGCCTATATCCATACAAATAATAAAGAAGAAAGTAACTAGAAATAGAAAGGTAGTAGTTATTAGTTATTCATATGTGATTGTAGATTCATAGGGGATCTTAGCTATTCATAGGCGATCCTAATTCTTTTACTAATGCCTCTCGGGTTGGAAGAGTGAACCTGGTGTGACAACTGAAAGAAATGACCCTAAGGCAAGCCGCTTTAAGCCTTCTGTCAAGCCTGTGTAAGGGCTGCCAGAGGGCACCTGGGCTGTGCACCAGTGCCAGCGCTGGAAAAGTGCCCACTGTTTAGCCAGCTAGGGAAGGAAAAGTCCAAAATGGCTGAGACATCTCCTTCCCTGGGGGAGTTAGGAGAAAACTCCGCTTCTCCAAGTTCTTTCGGTAGGCCTGATGGCTGGCAGGTAGGCCCACGGACATTCGGGCGCTTAACTGTCTCTATGTGATGCTGTGCTTCAGCGGTCACGCTCCACTCTCATGTTCCACTGCTGTACCTGGTTCCTTTTTTCTTAGAAGAGATCATCAGTAAAAGTAATAAAAATCTTAATGTCTTTGTTCTTTCCAGACAAGTATGGAAAGGGGCTGATGCATTATGCTCCTTACCTCATCTCGGTTACCTGAAAGTCCTGGGCGCCTACCTATATGACACGTGATATACTTGATCCTATCATTCACCACCAAGGCCACGCCCTACCTACCCTCCCCCAGATTTGTACCACGCCCTACCTACCCTGCCCCCAGCTTTGTACTCAGTAAAAGTCAGAGAGTCCAGGCACTTGGGGCCACTGCCGGACTCAGCGCTTTTGTTGGTAGTGGACCCCCAGGCCCAAACTCTCTATCTCTGTGTCTTTTACTTCTACAGTTTCTCGTTTCCACTCCAGCAGGGAGGGGTTCACAGGACCCTGTAGGGCTGGATCCTACATGCCATACCAATCTAGGCTCAATCTCCTCCACTGCCACGCCCCTCCATCTCCAGGTCTCAGCAACAATCCTGGGGCTGCCATCCCAATCCTGGCCCAGCCTCCTCCACTGCCACGCTCCATTTCCAGGACTCATCAACAGCTGAGAAATCACTGCCAGATTTCCTAGGGAGATCCTATCAAAATCCATCACAGTTAAGAGTGAAAGGCAAGTGCTGAAGGCCCAATTAAGAAAGCTGATTCAATTAAGCCAAGCAGATATCAATACATTTCCCTCGTTTTTAACCTCTTTGCTCCTGTTCCTCACACATCTTTTTACTTAGCAGGGAATGCAGAGAATGACTACTTTAATGACTGGCCAGAAAGGAAATACGTTATAATTCCCTTAAAATATAGTAAGAACAACCTCCTAGTTTATTTTTAGGACATTAAAACAGACAAATCGCCCCAATAATAACTGCTTATGAAAATCCTTTTATTACTGAGCACAGAAGAATATCTATGCAGACCTTAGCGCTTGAAGCCAATTCATATGAAATTACGTATCACTTGAGAGCAGGTGGTTTCTATGTATTTCTTGGGTGGCATGTTCTATAAATGTCAATTTGGTCAGGTCAGATGCTTGTCAGTATTTTTTAGCTCTATTTCACTCTATCATCTTCCATTATTGCATTTAATACCAATTGTTAAATTATTTTAAGTGTTTTTCAAACACACATTGATTGAGGTTAACCATTATTATTAATAAATCATCAGGTCTAAGTCAGCAATTAAGTGCTCCTGGACAATGGCCACTGCAGAACACCCAAAACCAAGAGGAGGTGCAACATATTCTTAAGATGAAAACGCTTCTGACAGAACACGGTGGAAACACACTTCAGTTATACTTCACAATTTAATCAACAGTAGCATCAGGCTAACACCACTGCATCAAAATCATTATTAAAGTATATTCAACTCCAATTTTTGAAGCAATCAATAAAGAAAAAAACATTCAAGAAATTTTACATATTTTTGTAATCAGAAGTAACTAACTTACAATTGCTTAAAGTATCCTGAGAGGGTGCTGATTATATTTATCTGAAAAACTATGGCCAGGAAAGGATGGTGTGCTACATGAAAACCTTGCGGACAAAGGATTCTGCCCTTTTTCTGGGTTAACAACAGCTCAGGGATAGAAATGATCTTAGCCATGGTTTCACAAAGGATTTTGCACAGCATCATTTTTCTGTCCTTTATTTCTAAAACCCGACCCTAGACTCCACAGAGGAAGCACTAGGCCTGACTGCTTTCTGAAAGGCTGAACACCCAGAGGATCTGAAACCAACAGCAACAGCACAGCAATCTCCATTCAGAGATGCATGGATCAGAGTGTCAACAGGTATTCCACAAAGAAAAAGCATCCTGAGGTCAAGTTTGGTGTCAAAATTCAACAGGTACCTTCAGAACAGAGCGCTTAGAAAAGCTTCTGATTTAATAATGAATGGGGGACCTGGTATGTCCCTTCCCAAATTCAACTGACCATTCTACTACTGTACTTCCCTCACTCTTATACACATATACACACATACCTGTTACCATCCTGAGAAACCCAGGTTGGGACTGCAACACTGGGGGGACATGTCTAGCACACAGCCTAGCGCTTAGGAGATGAGAATGACAGAAGGTGGCTACTGCAGTCCAATGAGATCAGAGCAGCTGGCTTAGTATCTGATACTTTATGTGCTCAGCAGATGGAAATATGTGAACACAAAGCATCTGGTGGACTGGGGACAAAGGCAGGAGAGTGCAAGAGAACGAAATGCTGCTCTATAAATTCAGATCAGGAGCCCACTTCAGAACTGGGGAACCTGAAGCTCAGCAGACTGGTGATATTTAAAAAGTGTTGCTGAATAAATGATAAAAGAAGCCTGGATCATCCAGTTTGCAAAACAGAGGCAAGCAAAGGAGGGAACAGCGACTGATATGCATAGCTTTAAGAGGATAACTTGGATAATTAATTAGCAGATTGCTTTTCCTAAGCATTTACGCTACTCTCTCCGTCTGCTGAGAGGGGGGCCTCGAATTCAGGAACTGCTCATTTCTCCTGCCTGTTCTGGTTCCCACTATCCAGAGCTGGGATCCCCAAAGCTAGTGAACTGCACTCCCATCCATCTCTCACCCCCACCACCTCTTGAGGGAGCCTCAGCTGAGCACAGGCACTAAGCTGGACTTAGGAGACAAAGGGACGAAATTTCCTAGATTGAGAACTTGCGTCTATGCCATGTTCATAATAAATGTTAATTCTAAAAATATTTATGGGAAGTGAACTTTTATAAGACTATTAATACCAGTGTGAGATAGTTTATTATGTCAGGAACTGCAAGACCTAGTCATAGACCTGAGCGAAAATTCTAGCTTTGCAAACACAGCAAAATCTCTCCCCATAGAGATTATGAGGACAATTAATATTTCAGTCCCATCTACTCCACTGGGCTGATTAAGTGATGAAATGAGATTTCATGTTAAAGAGCTCTCTAAATATTAAAGAACTATACAGACACTGGTTGTTACTTTACTTTTCACTATTACCAAAGTATAGGAGCTCTAAAGTCATGGATAAATTTAGGTGATCAGATGTACGGTTCACTCTGTAGGTAAGCATTCTACAAGCACTCCCTGAATGGATAGAAATGTGTGTGTGTGTTGTCAATTACAGTAGCCACTGGCCACATGTTGCTCCTGAGTAAAATGTGAAATGTGGAGACACTGAGTAAGCAATTAAATTTTAATTTTATTTTTTAAAATGATGTTACCATCTTGTTAATTTATTTAACTCTGAGTAGCTTCAGTAGCCACACGTGGTGACAAGCCATCACAATGGGCAGTGCAGCTTGAAGTCGTAGTAAAAGGAGATTTTAAGCTACAGCAAAATCAAGTCACGTTAATTCTTTGTTTTATAAAAATGTAATTCTAATGATTCTTGCTGTGAAAGCCTCTTAATATGAAGGGTCTGTTCTGTGGCTATACCACATGGCCAATACAAGTGGAGGCTGGAGCCCCTAAGCAACATCTATCAGTAACAACATTAACACTGTGGTTGTGTGTCCACGTATTTGCAAATTGATATTGTGATCCCACACCTTCACTGGAGATGAGGACACAAGACAGAATGGCTGAGACATCTATGGAAGTTACAGCAACCATGAAACATCATCCTCATCTAGTTTGAACTTCAGAGTTATAAAGCCATAGCAAATGCCAGCACAAGAACACTTGGAGAGAGAGCGCAGGGCGGGACGGTGCAGCTAAGAGCTGTAATCCCTACAGAGAAGGCGGCTGCTATTAGTAAGCTCGTTAACCATGGGGTCACATGTTAGAGACTTATATGTCCCCCATTCAGATTTAAATTCCGCATGAACACTCTGGATGTGGTTCAAAGAGGTGACTATGACAGAAACCTAACTTAGGATGTTCACAGTTCTGGTCCCTTCCAGACTAAGTTTACAAAGACAGCTTAAGTGTAACTAGAAAGCAAATCTTTTAAAACGAGGAACAATGTTGACCCATTCTTAGGATTGCTCTCCTGGGAAAAGAAAACTACTTTAGTAGATGAACATCAGAATTTCAAGGATCTTGTTTTGTTTTTAGTGAGGGAAATGAGACAATACATTTTTACTTGCAAGTAAGGACCGTCTTTCTGAAGATGTCCTAATCTCCCATCTGTGCATTTCAGTTGCAGGCCTAGTCGCTTCATTAAGGTCTGGAACACAAGCTGGGCACTTCTCATTAGGCTACTGTCCCTTCACTGGTATTTGGCTTCTTCTCTGGCCATCATATACACTGAGACTTCAGGCACCATTACAGTTTATGCAGAGTCACATGAAATTCTGTTCAATAATGTGTTTACCTAGTTTCATTTCTTTCAAATCCATAAATTACAGTCATTCATTTTATTCAGATGAAAATACCCAGGTTCTTTCAATTTTGCTGTATGTTTGAAATTTTTTATAATAAAATACTGGAAGGAAAATGCCCCATGGCATCCAAGTTTCTAGATTATTTTCAGGCAGGTCACAGTAGTAATTAATCTCTGGGTTTATTTACAATTCAGAACCCATCATGTTTATGAAAGATGTTCTCTCTTTGTGTTATGCTTCAGTTTATCTGCCATTCACTCATGCAGCATGTCCTGCTTCAAATTCATTTATATCATCTTACTGTCAAATGATCGAGTATATTGCTACTTTGTACAACGATGAGGATCAGAGACGGCTAAAGGGTCATGAAGATGGTTCTATTTATGCTGAAGGAGTTCCTGTTACTTTAAAAAGTTGTTTTTGTGTGGGGGCTTTGGTTATCTTTTATACAATTAGTCAAATGTATAAAGTTAGAAAGTAGAAAAACCCTTGCCATTAAAACTCTCAGCTTTTATATGATGCCATGAAGATTTGTTTCTCTTTATATATCACTCAGCTTCCTCTCTTGCTTTATACTTTAAGGGTTTCCAGAGTTGAGATCACTGTTAATTAGTGTCTTTTGCAACATTCTGACTGTCCTGCCAAAATCCTAGGCAAGTTGGGGCCTCTATCTTCCTTTATTGACTTCTTCACTCTTCAACAGAGGCTGTTTCTAGATTAAAAAGACACTATTTCCTTTTTAGAAGCATCAGTGCAAATTCCTGAATCCAGTCTCTCTCCTTCAAAATTAGGCCTGAGAAAGATACACTGGTATTTTTCCTTTTTAAATTAAGCAACCATTTTCCTCTTCCCCATGTGCGTCTTCCTGGTGGTTCAAAGTTCCTGTGCCCCTGCTCCACATCTTGCAAAGGTGTTCACTATGCTGCTCACCTTCCACTAAAGTCTGAGTCATGAGCAAATCCCTTTTCTTTTGCTACTTTCAGAGTGTGTTTGTTTAAGTAAGTTTGTTTAAGTGGAGGTGTGGGGACTGTTGGGGCGAACATTACCTATCACTTCTTAAACTAGAAATTTTGAAACCACGTTATCTGTCAACAAATGAAGCCAAAGTTAGGCCAGATGCCGTGTAGCTAAGTTTGTAAATATGAAATTCACTGTCAACTGTGTACCCAAAAAAGCCATTTTCCCCCTCATCGTTGCTGGCATGGGCTCCCTCAGGAGGCTAAAAACCAGATCCACCCTTTCCCTGACCCCTTGAAGTAGGGCAACGATTGCACCCCTAGACTGGCCAATGGGAACTGAGGGGAAGCATGCTGGGGGCGGGGCCTCTGGAAATAATGTTCCCCTTATCAAGTGGCAGGCTAAGACAGCTATAGCCATCCCTGCGGAGGGTGGGCGCTGTAGCCCAGGAGCTGGTGTGTGGAGCTGAGGTGTGCTCCCATCACTGTAAGGGAAGGCCTAGCATGCCTGAGGGCGGCAGACACCAGCCCTCCATAGCCCTTCAGCTAGAGGTGCCTATGCCTTCGAACTTTGCAGTTTGTGAGAAAAAGAAACCCTTGATGTCTGCACCACTGATCGGCGTTCTGTTCCTCGCTGCCGAAGCCTCCCCACTGGAGTAATAAAGCACTATCAACAAGGGAGAAGAAAAAAGACAGAGCCGGGAGAGGAGGGGAAGAGAAGCTGCCACTTCTTAGTGCTTACTGTGCCGGGTGCTGTGTAGGGCACCTAGTGACACATTTACATAAACTGCCCACTCAAGCAGGTACTTTTATTTCTACTTTACAAATGAGAAAACAAAACAGAGAGGCTAAGTAACTTGCAGCAAGGACTATAAGAGCTGGAATTTAAACTCAGGGCTGAGTGACTTCAGAGCTCACACGCAGAGTTCATAATATGTGCTACACAAGAGTGCTTGGCACACACATAGATATTCATGGAGGAAGAACTATTCTGGTTACCGCCTCGTGGGCTCAGGGTTTGAGGCACTGACCTTTTCGGCCTTCTGGTGGAAAATGGACGACATGTCCAGCAAGGTGCTCCGCTCATCCAGGGCTGCCGCAAATGCCTTCCACTCCTGCTCCAGCTGACTCGCGATCTGCCGGATCTGCTGCGAGGCATAGTGGCCAGACTCCACCAGGCGATTGGCCACCGACATGATGCGGTTTATATTTACATACACGTTCTGCAATGTGGGCAGGAAAAGAGGGCTGCTCAGGGGAGAGCAAGGAAGAGGCTCCCTTCTAAGAAGCCCAGGTGCCACCTGCTGAAACACAGGCAGTGTGATCTCCCAGTGACCACACCTTTCACAGGAGCATCACCTCATCTAGATAATGTGATACATATCTGCTCTCTAAATTTCCATAAACTTGAAGTATTGGCTTCCATTTCTATTTTTAACACTATAAAATTACAAATCAACCAGCTGAAAGGCATAATTGTTCAGCACAAAACAATCAAATACACAAGTCGGTGCACACAAATATACTATTACTCACTTCTTGGCTTCAAATACTGAACAGGGTCCAGATGGCAAACCTGCTGCCAGGCAGTCACGCAGAACTGAGGGACCCAGCGCTCTGTTTTTTAACTAGAACCCAGAAACCCAAAAAACACATACCTAGCAACCAAGGGCTATTTGTGTGAAAGCAAGCTCTCCTTTCTACATACGCCCAAACCATTTTTTGGTGCCAACAGAAAACATCCTGTAAATAGATCCACCTTCTCCCAGGAATATGAATTGCAGTAAAAACACAACAATGCTATGCTCAGATTTTAAATAAAGCCTTTCTACTCTGTCAAAATTCCTATCTTCAAGTCTATCAGTTTACTGCAAAAATAGGGATTTTTTTTTAAACCCACCCTTTTTGCAAAACAAGCTCTGGCTATGGAGTTTCCCTTCCCACCTCCAAAGTCCTTTAATGCTCAGTATCACACTGTGTGTGTGGTGGATGGTGGAGATTCAGACCTTCAGCAAATCCGAAGTTGCTGTTCTTCATGTATTTATTATTTTTGTGACACTATTAACCATATCACTCCTCCCCAGGGGTCCCCCAAAATCGTAGATACATCTTTGACTCCTCTCAATGTTGCCCTAATGTGATTTCCTGATCTGTCCAAACTCCTCTACGTTTTTCCCCTTCTCTTGCTTTCCATACAACCCCTCTAAGCCAATCTCCCACTGCTTCAAACAGGGACCCCACAGCAGCCTCCTTCCTGCCCCGTGGCTACCTGCAGTCCACCCAAGTAAGCAGCTGAAATAACTCACTTGTTCATTCTTTCTTTGTACCTTCTTTCTTCACCCTTTCCCTCTATTTCTGACCCAAATCAGAACTTGGTGGAGTTGCCTCTGTCTAGGATTAGAGCCACAGGACTCCAGCCTCAGGGTTACTTCTCTGGGCTGCATCTGAAGGCTAGAATCAGCCAGCAGACATTGCATGTCTGAAGTCACAGAAAGAGGCTACAACAGTCAAGCCATGCTCAGTGAGGTGACCTCTCTGGCTAGTGTGGCATTAATGCTCTAACTGCATCCGGTAAATGAAAAGCAATGCCTCCCATTCCCAGGTGCATTCTTTCTCTCTTTGCCTCCCACCTAATAAAGTGACAAGTAACTAGATTTGCTAATTTCACTTCCTCTATATCCTTGAAGAGGAAAAGCCAATCCAACAGGTCTACTAGGAAGAGGACATGAAGATGCCGTCTGTTAGGATCTGGAGAAGAGATGTCCATTCGGATGGCACTACTGTGATAACCACTGACCATATGCACCCATTCTTAGATCGTTACAGCCTCCTGTGTTACTTTCACAAAAACAGACTTTACTAGTCTATGTATAATGCTTTTTCCATCACTCCATCACTTCTAGCACAGTAAAGGAATATGGTGACACACAGCCTAAATCTACAGCCTGGACATAAATATGGCAATGTGCAATCCCCTAAATTATAAGTACCTATACCTACAGGCTTATCATTATAGTTTTTATAAATATCTGTTATAGTAGAATGTGCATAACTGTTGGTATCCCTTCATATGCTTTCTTTTTTTTTTTTTTTTTTTTTTGTATTTTTAGTAGAGAAGGGGTTTCACCATGTTGACCAGGATGGTCTCGATCTCTTGACCTCGTGATCCACCCGCCTCGGCCTCCCGAAGTGCTGGGATTACAGGCGTGAGCCACCACGCCCGGCCCATATGCTTTCTTTAAAAGCTGCTACCTTGGCATATTGGTATTTAGTATCCTTATTTTGTCAGAAATTTCGAGCAGAAGGGGCTGAAGGTGAAATACCCTTGCCCTGCATTATTAAATATCACAGATACTAGGGATTCATGGAGGTATTCAACACAAGGGGCGGGACCGGTCCAGAAAGCTCCCCAGCAGATGTCACCATCATGGCACCGATCTACCACATGCATTGTATTAAAAAGTTTAACTTAGAAAAGTAACAGAAGTATATTGTCGAAAATCAGAAAATATACTCAAATTAAAAAAATAGCTGTAACTTACACTTTCATGTTTCTGACCTGCTTTAACTGCATCTTTAATTAGACTGATAACATCACTGGTAAGAATTACCATTTATCCGCTACTTACTATGTGTCAAGCTATATGCTTTGTGTGTGTTTTCTGTTTTTGTTTTTTTTCTTGAGATGGAGTCCCACTCTGTTGCCCAGGCTGAAGTGCAGTGGTGTGCTCTCGGCTCACTGCAACCTCTGCCTCCCGAGTTCAAGCAGTTCTCCTGCCTCCGCCTCCCAAGTAGCTGGACTACAGGCGCATGCCACCACACTAGGCTAATTTTTTATTTTTAGTAGAGACAGGGTGGTTTCACCATGTTGCCCAGGCTGGTCTCGAACTCCTGACCTCAGGTGATCCACCTGCCTCGGCCTCCCAAAGTACTGGAATTACAGGTGCGAGCTAAGGTGCCCAGCCTGCTTTGTGTTTTACATATACATGTAATATCATGAAAGGCAGGTATTACCCCCACATTACAGATTAGGAAACTAAGGCTCAGAGGAGTTAAACAGCCTACTCAAGGTCACATTGCAAATAAGAAAGTCAGAATTAAAAGCTTCTACATCCGCAATCCACTTTCCTGTCTTCCACACTGTGGTTCCTATTCCCTTGATTCCTAAATCTGCCATTAATAATGCTAAAGAAAGGATGATGAGAGAATGTATTTTTCGGTTCATTTCTAGCACACATTTTAGCATTTCTAGTTTTAAAAGTATGTGGCATAGTGGACTGAATGGTCTCTTGCCAATAGTTGAAGTTTCAGAAAATCCTAAAAAACTGACAGTAATTTTTTACAAAGAAATTTTTATCTATGCCCAGGTTTGATCATTCAAACCAGAAATTCTCTTACATTAAATTCTACAACAGATGTAAAACCTTCTGATGGCATTTATTACCAAAAATTATATTGCAAAATCTTATCTTTGAAACGACCTAAATTGCAGCACCTAGTTGATCGTATTTTAATTAAATGGCATCTTACTGAAATCATTTGAACAAAAACCCTGTCTTCATATTGTTTTATTTGTATTTCTATTTTTGAGACAAAGTCTTGCTCCATTACCCAAGCTGGAGTGCAGTGGCATGATCATAGCTCACTGTTGCCTACAACTCCTGGCTCAAGCAATCCTCTAGCCTCAGCCTCCTGAACAGCTGGGACTACAGGCGTGCACCACCACACCTGGCTAATTTTTTATTTTACTGTACTATTTTTATAGAGATGGAGTCTTGCTGTGTTGCCCAGGCTGGTTCATATTGCTTTAATGTTCTAGAACAAATGTTACAAGGTTTAAGAGTGGATAATCCTCACAAGCCTGGCTTAAAATCCAAACCAAAACACACAAGCCAGCAAATATCCTACAGAACATATAGTTTTAGTTACATTAACTGTAAAACCGTAACAAAAGTGCCACTCAAAATTCAATGTTTTGGTTTATTTTTGGTTTCTATGATGTACTCCTACAGTCGCCCCATCTGGGCTTTAAGATCCTAAAGGAGTCACGACAGCCAAGGGTAGCAGACACAACAACCTTAGAGAGGGCCAGGGCATCCAAGACAAGACTGACCCCAGTCCTCCAGCTCAGCTCAGAAGGAAATCTCATGTCTCAGGAGAACTAGCGAGTGCCCTGAGGTCAGCAACAGGCTGGCTCCTTTCACTGTCAAGCACAGCAGCCAGCAAACTGACAGTGCTTGGCCCAGGGGACTCACAGTGCCTCCCAGCAGCTTTGCTGGGGCCCCTGTGGGCTCCTATGAAGCAGAGCACAGGAGCCAGCATCAGAAGTGTCTGTGGCAAACTAGCCAAGTAATTGATTCAAGTTTCACTGGTTTGTCTGTTTGCTTGTTTTCATTCTTATTTAAAACTTAAAGTGTGGGATACTGAAAGAGTGGAACCCTGGGGAACACCCTCCATGTAAAGGTCAGCTGCTACAATCAACAGCCACTCTGGGGGCCCCCCGAGAGCACCGGCACAGGATCTGCCAAATGCCTCCCATTTGCTAAAACATGGTCGCATGCCAGGATCCAGCTGCTCCGAGTGTCTTACCATACAGTTCATAGCAAAGTGATTGTGCTGCGTCTGAAGCTCCATGGCATGAGGATGGCTGGTCCCAATCTCCGTGTAGCTGTTTAGAAACAGGCCTTTGTTGTGTGTGATCCAGTCAAACATCTACCGGAAGGAAAAAAGACAACCTGGAATCACTCCGGAAAGAAACTGCTGATACAGGACCACAGTTCCTTGGACAACTTCAAATGCTGTCTCTCTGACTCTCTTAGAAATCTTCACTTCCAAGGACAAGTCAGCAGTTCTGAACTTGCAGGACCTACCAGAAAATCTTATCTGATGTGCTCCTCTTACAGAGAAGGAATTAAGAAGCAGATAAGTAAAGAGAGTTATTCTAATCCCCCGGGCTAATTAAAAAGCCTGATCCTCTGACTCTCAGCCCAGTCTCCCTGCCATGCTGAACTACTTAATTTACCACAATGAGCTTCAATTAAAGGCCCATTAGGCTGAAATTAGGAACTTATGGGTCTCTGGATGGGTTCTGTTGTGCCCACAGGTTACTAACAGAAATATCAATGACTAAAAACATTACACTGTTTAAACAAGAAGTACATAGACCCCTGTGCAGATTGAAAGTAAAATGCAATTTAATGTAAAAATAAAAAAGATGGGAAAAACTAACACTGACATCTCCCTTAAGGTTCAATAGAGATGTTACTTGGACAAGAATGTCAATGAAGACATTCACAATGAAAACATTTAAGAAAACAGAGATGACTATCATCAATTAGCATTGCTACCATGACTTGAACCAGAACCCCAGTGACAGTAACCTGTTTTTCTAGTAATTGAAAGGAAGGTGTTCCAGTCTTTTTGACAAGGCACTATTTAAAACAAAAGAACACTGACAGATAGGTTAAACGCTTTGGCAATGAAAACACTGGATTATCATGTTTTGAAAAGTCCTTTTACATTCAAGAATTCTAATGTAGATATTTACTTTACAAAATATTCTCCTGTCCATGTAATATCAAATTCAATGAACTCAAATAAAACTCAATGATTAATTCACCCAATTTCCTGGCTTACAACACATATCTTCCCGGCCAATGCATGCATGACCCTTTTCAGCCAGGCGTGGTGGCTCATGCCTGTAATCCAAGCAGGATTGGCCGCCTTTGGAGGCCAAGGCAGGCGGATCACCTGAGGTCGGGAGTTCAAAACCAGCCTGACCAACATGGTGAAACCCAGTCTTAAAAAAAAACAAAAAAAGCCCACATACCTATGAATAAGTGCCCATTTTTTCACACTGCTAAGATTCAATTAACCAGTAACTGATAAGCGTTCACTTTGACCAGGTGATCTGCCTGGTGCGTAAGAATAAAACATGAGACTAGAGGTGATTATTGCCTATATTACCCAGACACTAACTTTTAGCATTACTCACTTTCATTTTAAAAACATACTCAACAGATTGGAATGTTGTTCTGTCACTGGTTTTGTATGAGCAGAAGACTAGGTGTTAGCAAAATACATACATAATTATTGCTTTCAGTAACATAACCCTGTGAAATTTTCACTTTTTTTTTTTTTTTGAGATTGACTCTTACTCTGTCGCCTAGGCTGGAGTGCAGTGGCACGATCTCAGCTCACTGCAACCTCCACCTCCTGGGTTCAAGTGATTATCCTGCCTCAGCCTCCAGAGTAGCTGAGATTATAGGCGCACAACACCATACCTGGCTAATTTTTGTATTTTTAGTAGAGACGGGGTTTCACCATGTTGGTCAGGCTGGTCTTGAACTCCTGACCTCAGGTGATCTGCCCACCTTGGCCCCCCCAAAGTGGTGGGATTATAGGCATGAGCCACCATGCCCGGCTGAAAATGTCACTCTTTTAAGTAAAAATATAATTCTTATCTTACAGGCATCCTAGACCAAACCATAAGTAACATGAACTTAAAATTTCTAAAAGAGCACCATATTGTACAACGAGTAAAACTGGAAAACAGATTTCAGTGCCATTTCTGAAATGACTCTCGCTGGTTTAGCGCACACACAGTGAGTGTAGGCTTACCATTTTCCACCTTTTCTCTTTCCTTCCACCCGACCCTGCCAGTGCTGGCTTCCCCCATGTCCACTGAGGCATTAGTCTCTCCCATCTTTACCTTCTCAGCATCCTGTTCAAACAGCCTCAGCTGGAAGCACTGGTCCAGCTTCAGCTTCCTCACATGCCACATCTGGTGCAGGTGCTGCCGTGTTGAGTGCAGCCGGTCCAGCATGGTGGACACTTTGGGCAAGAGGTTCTGAAGGTCTGCGTTGCCTGAGCCTGAGTTCTTTTTGGGAAAGCTTTCACTGCTCTGTATCCTCTGCAGCAGCTTCTGTCCCTCCAAATCCAGGTCCTCGATGGGGGCCTTAATCACCTTCTTTTTCAGCTGAGAATGTTCCTCAATCATATTCCGAGCCCCCTCTAAATCCTGAGGCAGCTCCTTCTTAGCTAGGATGTCCTGAAGTTCCTCTAGCCGGGACAGCATGTGGGTTGCATTGCTAATGTAGTCTTCAAAAGCAACTCTGATTTCAATCCATTCTTCGTGGTTGTATTCCAGGCAGCCATCAAATTCGGGAGTTAGCTGAGAAGGATCAACTACTTTGGTAAGGCCTTCTAAAGACACCATATTTGTCTTAAGAGAAAAAAAATGAGAAGATGAACCAATTTTATATAGTTTTAACGTAATGCAATTTGCAATGCACAGTCACAGGTTTTCAAAGTTAATCTACTGATGGAAAACATAACATACCTGGTTCTGGCCCCATAAAAATAAATGTAGATGAAAGAAGCATTATCAGTACAATGAAAGACAAATCCATTATGGCAACACATATATGTCAGTTGGAATACCTAAAACTGTAGAATAATGTACTTCATGAGAGATTTCTTTCCAAGAAGGTGGAGATTAATCCATTATAATAGACACATTAAACCAGGAAACAGGTTAAATTGCAAGTTCAGAGCAGACAATTTGGAAATTTCCCTTTGATCAATGCATTCTTCAACCCATTCTTTCTCATCCACACCATTCTAGTATTTCATTTCCAACAGAATCTCCGTGGAGGTTTTCTACTATATGCTATTATGCAAACACCTTGCTCATGGGCATCAAAACCCTTTTAAGCCCAATGTCACTCTAAATTCAATTACATGTGGGCTGCCTATTTAATGATGAATGCTGCTCCAACCAGACCACCCTATCATTCATCTTGCCTAAGCCTAACCCCACTGTCCATCAAGTAACAGATAATAGGATATGAATGACTTCATAAAAATTTAGAAAATATTCAAGAGTTGGCAAGAAAGCTGGCAGAGACTCATCTGACAGAGCTAGGAACAGAGGCAATGTTTTATTCATTGTAATAATCGGCTGTGATTCCGAACAGTCCTAGAGTTGTATATAACCTGTACTACATTGCAATTTAACAGTGACAAAGTTTTAGTCAATTACAGTCTAAGCAAGAAATCGTATACGTGTGTGTGTGTGTGTGTGTGTGTGTGGGTGTGTGTGTGTGTGTGTCTGTGTTTGGGAGACAAAGAGTCTTGCTCTGTCACCCAGGCTGAAGTGCAGTGGTGTAATCTTGGCTCACTGCAACCCCCACCTCCTGGGTTCAAGGGATTCTCCTGCTTCAGCCTCTCGAGTAGCTGGGACTACAGGCACCTGCCACCATGCCTGGCTAATATTTTTGTATTTTCAGTAGACATGGGGTTTCACCATGTTGGTCAGGCTGATCTCGAACTCCTGACCTCAAATGATCCACCTCAACCTCCCAAAGTGCCGGGATTATAGCATAAGCCACCATGCCTGGCCTTTTTTATTTTTTTTTAAAGACAGTCTTGCTCTGTCTTCCAGACTGGAGTAGAGTGTGGTGATCACTGCACACTATAAGCTTGAGTTCCTGGGTTGAAGCCATCCTCCCATCTTAAGCCTCCCGAGTAGGTGGAATTACATGTGTGCCACCATACCTGGCTAATTTTTAAAACAAAATAAAACTTACTAAGTTTCTGAGGCTGGGCTCAAACTCCCAGCCTCAAGCAGTCCTCCTGCCTGGGCCTCTCAAAGTGCTGGGATTACAGGCATAAGCCACTGTGCCTGGCCTCGGCAAGAAATCTTAACCTCACCTTATCATGATGTGATAAGGTGATTAATATTAATATGCCGCAAGGAAAACATGGGGAGGATGATTGAATGTAAAGGGGAAAACAGAAGGGCTGGATTGGTGTGCTGACTGGCAAAAGAAACAGCAGAAGGCAGCAGAGCTAGAAAGAGCTGGAAAAGAGGGATGACTCCTGATCTAGCACTTCTGCCTACAATGCTACCATAGGCCCATTCCTCTCTGGTTTGCTGGACTTTTAATAATCTCCATAGAGGCAATCTCACTAGCAGAGAGAGCGAGACTGGTAACAATTTAAACAAGTTCCATAGAAACACAGGTACCTTTAAGAGCCCAGAGAAAGAGATCCAACGTAGACTGGCAAAAACGTGTATGAATTGTATTGCCAGACGGATATTTTTACTTAGAACACTTATAATTAAATACAACATCCTTTAAATTCTGCATCAAGAAAGTAACTAAGATCCAATAAACTGTCCTCCAAAGTTACGTCCTGTTCTCTATGAAGGTAATGGCTTACTGGGGTTACCTTTCTGATGCAATGTAGTGAACCTCCTGAGCAGTTTCAAATTGAAATTAAAACTAAGTTTAGATTTCTGGACACAGAAATGAGTACTATGGAAAGAAATTTTAAAATCCAAGTAATACACCTATGAAAACACTCTGAGAAGTATAGCATTATAACCTAAAGTATTAACACTATGTGATGTTTAATATTATCATTGCTCTTTACCCTAAAACACATGAATACATCCACTAAACCTAATGTTTGAGCACACTTGCCAGAGGAAGCGATCTAGTCAACCAAAAAATTATCATTTCTCATTAGAAAATATTAAAATCTTATTCCAGAACGGAGCAAGAATGGAATTTCATGCTGGAAGGAAGACTTTCCTCTCATAATCATCTCATTAAATTAACTGCACCAAAGGCCTTGTAAGAACCTTGGTAGCTTAAGAAGAGGAGGTTACAGTGGGAAGGAAAATAATTAGTGGGCTGAGGGTTTTTTTTTAAACCACTGAAAGACCGCAATCTTCCTTGCATAACTGAATTCAGGGTGCTTCACAGTTTTTAACACAGTATCTCCATTTTCGGAAATGAGAATCTTAATACATGCATTCTCTCCATTATTCATGACAAGATGAAACTCAGCGACGCTGAAGTTGGCCATGTCTCCCTAACATTCCCTCATCTCCAGGGCTGAGGCAAGGAGAAGGAATCTGTAACTGTGCAAAGCCACTGTGCTGCCTGGTAAAGCTGTTTATCAAGTGAAATACAAGGCAGCAAGCAGGATTCTCCACCAAGGCCTCACAACTCAACAGCCCATCACCCAACCCCAGGGACCTGAAACCTAAGCCCATGTGGGTAAAACAATCCACTCAGAAAATGAACACATCTCTGTTATTTCATGCAGTAACTAATTTTACGTATCACATGTTCATAAGATATGCAGCTCCTATTTAATACGTGGTTTAAAAAAAAAAAAAAAAAACCCTCTCATCAGGCTCAACAGATTTTAGTAGACCACACCAAGTGGCTTAGTGTGTCTGGCCACACAGGGGAAGTTACCTCAAATTCAAATTTAGAACTGCCAAAATTAGTCCTCTGTTTCTGCCAGAAGTTGTCTGGCTTGATGATCAGGGCCACGTGGATGCAGCAGGGGAAGGACTCCTGCAGGATCTTCAGCAGGGGCTTGATGGAGTCCCACTTGGACCCACGCATGTCCACGATCACCGTGAAGCCGCGCTTGCAGACCTCCTCACTGAGAAGAAAGAAAACACGGCTGAAGACGTGTTGCACCTCTTGCCACTCTGTCTGCTCAGAGTCCTCCTGGGTGCCACAGACCTGGCTTCCCTCCCCTGCTGGACATGTGTGGAGGCAAAGGAAGGAGCACACTGTGCTCAGCTCCTTCTCACCCTTCCCTTGTACCATCAAGGAAGAGAACCAGGCTACACATGCTTCATGTTCAACCCACACAACCTGTTAAGATTTCAATTTTGTGCTAATGGTTTTGCATCTTGTCTTCTTTTCGGGAAAACAACAGCCACCATGCCCATTTCTCTTGCCTTTGGTGCATTAACTAATTACATGAACTCCTCCAGTCAATTCTATGGGCAAAGGTCTCCAGGGAGCATTGGGCGGGTACAAAACCCTGACAGCCTGCAGAACCCAGACTGAGGACAGTCTGAGACCTGTAGACACCAGTTACCCCAAGACTCCCAGCACCCCAGGTGATGAAAATGACTCCCCACCCACGTGGCTGGCAATGGTGAGAGCTTTCTAATGTTCCATTCTATTCCTTTCACCTTATCCTGGCCCTGAAGCTATCTCAGCGGGTTCTCCATACCATCCACCCATCCCCGAGAGTTCTTGGCACCCTTCTGGCAGGCTCTGCGGGATAAATCTAGTTTCACAACTGCACTAAGCCTTTACCTGGTAGCAATGGAGGCTAACACTCCTGGCCTCTGACATACATCAAGGCAGTGCTAGGAGTCACTATATTCTTCCTCTCCACATTACTGCAGCAAAGAAAAAAAAAGCACCGGCTTCTAATTTGATTAAATGTCAAGCACTGGCTACACGGGAAATACATACAATGCAAATCTGCAATAAAGAATGAGCAAGAAGAGGCAAGGTGTCCTTAAACACAGGTTAAAAAATAGTAGTTTCACTTGGTTACAACTTCAGTGATAGGCACTTCCAAATGGGCCTACAGCTAAGGAACAACAGCAGCCCTCACTGTCACACTGGGGTTTCTGACAGTCTACACCGGCTGCCGATTCCGGCACCAGTGAACAGGTAACGAGTGCCTGCAAGGTGTTTTTTGGAAATATACCAAGGACCTTCCGGTACTCAATAAGCATATGCAGTTTTCCCCAGACATAAATACACAAATGTACCTTAGGGTAGAAAAGACCTTCGACATTTTTCTGTTTTGGATAATCGCCCCCACCACCTCAAAAAAAAACTAGAGTAAATTAAAAACCTGAAAAACTAATTGCTATCATTAATGTAAAATAATTAATTCAAAATTAAAACCAATTTCATGCTCTTGCACAGGCTCACTCCCCTAACCCTGCCCTCCCCCCACCCTCCTGACTAATTCATGCTCACACACTCACACACCCTATTCCCTTCCATATCTTGATTCAGACTATCAGAGTAGCTAGCTTTCCACATTTTACAAATGCAAAGTACATATAACATCTACATCAATATAAGAGGGTGTATCACATAAACACCCCAAAAGATGCCTGTACAGCTAGAACGCAGCAGTAGGACCCAATCAGAGGGCAGCTCACAGTCAGAGGAGCATAGTGTTTAAAACCAGGAAGAGAAAACAGATCCAGCAGCCTACGTAGTTTATCACCCCAATTTTGAAAACTGCTTAGAAATGATGTGATGAACTTCTAAAAATTATCCCATAGGGATGTAAACTGAAACACATTCAAATACCCCTCACGCTATCACTTCTCCTCCACGTCCCAATTAGGTCCTGGGTTACAATCCAGGTAATAGGAAGAAACATTTGTTTTCTGACCTCCTTCATGAAACCCAGAGGCAAATGGGACTCCCAGAAATGTCTCCTAAAGTGTCCCATTATAGAAATTAAGCATTCTCGACTTCCTTGGGCTCTACTGCGGTTTGTGATCCTGCAAGATTCCATTCCACAGAAACTCCAGGGCCGCGAGCGGTGGGGCGAGGGCAGCCTAAGCAGGGAGAGGCAGGTCCCTGGAGGCCAAGAGCTCTGCAAAGGAAGCCCGCAGCCCTGCTAAGGCATTCTACTCTAGATTCACATATTCTGTTACCATACACCAAAGACAGGAGATTGTAAAAGGACGGCAATATGTTTTATTTGTTTTACTAGTTGCTGTTTGGTAGTCTACACCGTAACCATCAGTCTTCACCATATCAAGATAAAATTCCCTTGCAGCCTGTCTTTCTCCTAACATGGCCTTACACAGTATGCACATAAACTACAAAGCCCCTCTACTTGAAAGAAGCTTAAAAGGAATCCTGAATGACTCCAGGCTTAACAACAGGAACAAGGGAGAACAACAAAACCAAAAGCTATGCTCAGCTTGCACAGTTTACAGAAGGATTAACTATTCACCTTCCTCCGTGATCAGACTGTTCCCACCCAGCAGCTTCCTAAGTAAGGAAAATGGCATATGAACTGGACTGGGAGTGCACAGCATTTCAATCCATCTGTTTTTATCAAGTTAAAAGCCAGTCATCATCAAGAGAGCAGTGACTTGTAAACATCCCCAGACCCAGGTCCTATTTACCAGCACCTAATAAACAGCTGCCTACAGAAGGGCCCTAAGCCCTTCCACCACCTAAGACACTGTTCTTTGGGAAATGTGACTTATTAACCAGTTATTTTAGCAGTTTTACCAAAGAGCCTCATGTTTATCTGTGAGATAAAGAAAATTTACATAAAATTAAGGGCACCTCTCAACACAGGTCCCTAAAAAAGAGAAACTCTACTTGTTTAGTTTCTAGGTGAAGAAAGTTATCTTTTTATAGAAGTATTCATGAATGAATCAATTAAAAATCTTTGTATCATTTCATTCGTGGACAACAAGGAGTAAGAGTGGTTTATGTATTAATATTTAGCAACTATAAATCAGCAGAATGTTCTAGAACATAATTAGTATTAAATACAATTCAAACAATAAGCGAAACAACCACCTTGAGACATTCCAAGATTAATGTCACTGTGCAGGACTTGCAGTGACGTCAGCGAGAACGGCTGCTGCTTCTTATTTCTTCTACGCACAGTTAGTGGAAAGTTTCATTGCAAATTAATCTTATGAACTCACCTTAATACTACAGTTTTTTTTAAAGGGCAGGGAGGGGCGACCCCAGCAATAATAAACTACTCACAGCTGCTGAGATTAGTTTCTGTTGAACTGTGAGGGACATAGACAATCTAGAAGGCATGGAGAAGAAAAACAGTGTGACCTCCCTTAAGAAATTATGTCAAAAGGAAAAAAGAAGGGTGAATATGAAATCAGAAAATTATTGCACTATTTCTGAATGAGCTACTGCATGTCAAGCACTATGCAGGATTATAGGAATAATTTTAACTCAATACTCACAATGATCCCAAGATGTACATGTCATTATCATATTTTCAGATCAGGAAACCAATGAACGTGAAGTCATGTGTCCCTGGGCACAGTCAGTCTGATTCTGAGGCCCACGCTCTCCCTTCACATATGACAGCAGCCCCGGGACTGTCTAGCTGAGGAATGGTCGGAGGGCTGCCTTCAAGTCTGGGAAGCATGTGGGAGCAATAGACAGGTCTCATAGGTCCCAAGACACACACACAAATGTACGGCTGGGTGGAAATGCCTTGTGTTCATATCACTCTACCATCAGACTTGCAAACTACACACAGTCAAGTCCAAAGAAATTCACACACCTGTAATCTGCTGATGTTTTTTACAATTTTTACAAGTCTGGCAAAATCTGTATCACATACTTTGTTTGGTGAAAACCAAAAACCACTCCTGCTGCTCTGCACTCACTGGAGGCAGCGCCTGCAGGACTCGGAGGGAGGGAGGACCCAGAGAGGACTCCCTGTGTGGCCACTTCTTTCTATTTTGCCTACTCTGAAATCCTTCTCCATTACCACTTGGCAAATGCATCATTTACATGTTAATTCTACCTCTCTTATTTGCTCATTAATCAAGGACAAGCAAAATGGCACTTCTTGTCACTTGGGACTGCAGTAAATGCAAACACAAACCTAGACACCGACATGAAGTGACTATTCAGTGGCCAGAGGGTCATCCTACAAACCGAAGTGTTTCTGAGTGGCATGATGTGATATTTGGGATTTGTTATAAAATACTCCAGGGGAAAAATTAGAGAAAAACAAGATTGGCAAAAACTGTAGCTGGGTGATGGCTATATGTGTGTTCATGATATTATTCTCTCTACTTTTGTGTATTCTCACAATTTCCCACAAGAAAAGTGGTTCCCAGATTACCAAAAATGTGCTTGAACCAATTTTTTTTTTGAGACAGCATTTCAAAATTGCATGAACCTGGGAGACAGAGGTTTTGGTGAGCTGAGATCAAGAGCTCTTGTTGCCCCTTGGAGTGCAATGGCATGATCTCAGTTCACCAAAATCTCTGCCTCCCAGGTTCATGCTATTCTCCTGCCTCAGCCTCCCAACTAGCTGAGATTATAGGCATGGGCCACCATGCTCGGCTAATTTTCTATTTTTAGTAGAGACAGGGTTTCTCCGTGTTGGTCAGTCTGGTCTTGAACTCCTGACCTCAGGTGATCGCCCGCCTCAGCCTCCCAAAATGCTGAGATTACAGGCATGAGCCACCACACCCAGCCCCTAAACCAATATTTTACATCGATAAGATGAATAATTTTTAATATTTACTACTAAGTTTCAAGACCAAAAATCAAGTTGTCAAAGTTACCACTATATAGTATCCAAATCAGGTAAATTTTTAAAATCACATGAATATCAAATTCAACTTTAGCTTTTTATTAAACTATATGACAAGTATCATTTTGATTGGCAGTGACTTTTTGTTTAATGCTGTCGTTTGTATTTCTTTTTCCATCAAAACTATCAAGACCAAAAGCTGATTGCTATCAGCCACAGGCAGCCCTGTTAGGAAGAGGCGTGGCTGCCTTTCCCACTGGTGTCAACCTACATAGGTTAAGGGTGGCATGAACCACGTGCTGTGTTAAATCTATTCCATTTACCTTGACCCTTGAAATCTATTACACTATTACTGACCATCTTACATCACTCTGTTGTAACATGACCATTAAGGCTACTATCTAGCCTAGCCCATATTATGGCCGAGTTTTCTCTCACACATCCTCATCTAATCTCTTAAGAAACATCTCCTTTCATTCCACCATGGTCACCACTGAGCCCCTTCAGACACGTGAGGACTTACCCTTTCCTCATAGAGAGATGCCCCTCCAACCTACAACACACACCAAATCTCCTATTCCAGGCATGACTGCATCCTTAGATTACATCAGAGCAGTATTATATTTTCCAGAATATAACTGGAACAATTAAATAGAGATATTAATCGGTGTGATCTGGCTCTGTGTCCCCATCCAAATCTCATGTTGAACTGTAATCCCCAATGCTGAAGGAGGGCCTGGTGGGAGGTAACTGGATCATGGGGGCAGTTTCTAATGGTTTAGCACCCTCCCCCTCCTGCTGTCCCATGATGGAGTTCTCATGAGATCTGGCTGTTTAAAAGTGTGTGGCACCTGCTCCCCTACCCCCACCCTCTTCCTCCTGCTCCAACCAAGTGAAGATGTGCCTGCTTCCCCTTTGCCATGATCATAAGTTTCCTGAGGCTTCCCCAGCCATTTAAACCACTTTTCTTTATAAATTACCCAATCTCAAGTATTTTTTTTTTTTTTTGAGATGGAGTCTCACTCTGTTGCCCAGGCTGGAGTGCAGTGGTGCAATCTTGGCTCACTGCAACATCTGCCTCCTGGGTTCAAGCAATTCTCCTGCCTCAGCCTCCTGGGTAGCTGAATTACAGGCGCACGCTATCACACCGGCTAATTTCTGTATTTTTAGTAGAGATGGAGTTTCACCATGTTGGTCAGACTGGTCTTGAACTCCTGACCTCGTGATCTGTCCACCTCAGCCTCCCAAAGTGCTGGAATCACAGGCATGAGCCCCCTTGCCCAGCCAAGCATTTCTTTATAGCAGTGTGAGAAAGAACTAATACATTAATACAGGGAGGAAATTTCCTCTACCAGTTGTCAGCTAGATCTACAAATAAAACTTGAGTAATAAATTCCCAGAGCAGAAACAGATTCTAAATTCCTCAAGAATGCACATAGGCCAACTCCTAGTAACTCAGCTCCCCACTTGAGGACTCTCCAGAAAATACAACATTGCTTGTTCTTGGATGTTCTTTGGCATCTATGCTAAAAATCCAGATTACTATACGGAGTCTTAATTTTGATAGAGATTCCCAAATCTATGCCCAATATATTAGCTAACAAGGATTTTTAATGCCCCACAAACTTCATGCTACATATCAACAGATTATTTTTAAAGAACTCATGTTCACCAAGAAGGCAGAAATGCATTATCAAAAGCAGCATCCAATTCTGATCACCCAGCCCTTGGGTGTCATGGTATTATAATCATCACTGACGGCTTTCTTTCTAACTCAGGCACCAAATCCTAAAATCCCAGCATAGTATCCCAGATCCACTGTCAATACACAAAGCTCTTCACAAAAAAAATAACTACCTTCATGTCCCTGCTCCCCAAAATGTTTTACATGAGACAATAATAGTCACAAAATGGTAATAAGGAGAAAGAAAATGATTTTCGTTTTATACTACTTTGCCTGGAATTCAGGCTACCATTTAGCTGTTTTCTAATGGATACAGCATCACATCTGTTGTAACTGTGACTTCAGTGACAAGCAGAGGCAACACAGAACTTACCTGGGAATACAGGCTAGATAGGAAATGAGTCTCCTGAGATCTTCCTGTCGTATTCTGTCATGATTGCTGCGGGCTGGAAATGTTAAAATGGGACCTCCACGTTTATCTCTACCACCTAAAAAACAAACACCAGGAACACACTTAGAAGCAAGATAAGACGAAAGACCGATCATCATCCATTCACTCTGCCAAAATTACTCCTAAAGCAACTGCACAAATGTGCAAAAGGCAGGAGTCCTTGTTTCATCTGAGGCACAGTGAGGACATTTAATCCCTTCAGAGGATTTGGGAAAAAAAGTCTGTGTTTTACAGGCCACATGAAAGCTTCTATATATGGCCTTGTCTTTTTCTTCCCATGTTTTGAAAAAAAAAAACTCCTTTCTGCAGTTTTTATGTTTTAGACAGAAAAAAAAAAAGTTGTCAGGTCCATGTGTTTCATTCACTCTCCTGAGTAACCACCTCCCTCACTCCTGCCCTCTGTCACTCTCCCCACATTCTTCCCCATTGCCCTGCTTTCCAAGCTCTTTCTTTCCTACCAACCCAATGTATCGAAGTCTTGAAAGGAAAGCAAAAGAACATTCTCCAAACTATGCTAATGATGACTTTATAAGCTGGCATGGATGGCATCTGACTCTCACTGGTCAGGTTTTGCCAGTCTCTCACACAGAACCACACACATGCACATGGGAGATGGCCACATGATAATTTTAAAGCTAACTTAGTTAATCAGCTTAAGGATTTTAGAAAAATTCTATCACACACTAAGAGTAAAAATCTTAAGAGTACATGACTTTGACAGCCAGGCAGTCAGAAGGATTTCTTGTTAACATATATAATCCTAATCAAGTCAGCTTGTTATTACTAAATGCTCGTGGTAAAATTGCCACATTTATTTTATTACTTCCATCAAGGTTGTTAGGAAAACAGAGAAAGAAAATGTAGCCTTCTCAAGTGGAGCCTTCATTTAGGTTTAGAACTCTGATGATCTTCTTCAGGAGACCTCAAAATTCAAGTCTCAATGCAAAACTCTTCATTATTTTCTGTGCACCAAAAATCATCAGCAGAGGTAAAATTAGAAAGTAAGCAAGCAAATAAAATAAGATTCTTTCCTTTTAGAAAAGCCAAAAAACATACAGCAGAAGATAATTTAAAAATATATTTCACCAATATGATTTTCATAATTTCCTAGGACTTACATACTCATTCTAAATAATGATGAAACTTCATTTTGATCTGGAATACTTAAAGCAATCCACATGTACTGTTCAGTCATATAATCTAGAAAAGTCTTAAATTGTTTGCAAATCCAATAATTTATGTATTATATGGTAACAACAATCATAGTTACCAATAGATCCGGATAGGGTGCCATGTGCTCTACATACACGTTCTGATGGGATTTTACAATGACCCTGCTGAAGTTTCATCATTCCAGTCTTATAAAGATACTGAGGCTCCAAAAGCTTAAATAAAGATAAAGGAACTATTCAACACTGTTTGTCATTGTTAGGTCTTCGCCCAGACAAAAAGTGTGTATGATCTTAGTTCTTTTTTAAAGTGTAAAAATGTCATAAGGATAACTAAATCTGGGTTCCTGGGCCTTTGAGAGGGCTAACATTTATGAATGAAAAGTACGATTGAAAGTGAGAAGCAGTACTGTTCACTATCAAGTGTTCTTCTAAAACAGCTGATATGATTTTTAGGGTAATATCAATAGCTCTAATTTTTTGGAATTCCTCTTATCCCCAAGATAAGACAGATAACAATTTCAATATTTTTTATTTCCCACTATCTTTCATTCTTTTCAAAAGAGTCTAACTCTTATCCCCAAGATAAGACAGATAACAATTTCAATATTTTTTATTTCCCACTATCTTTCATTCTTTTCAATAGTCTATCTCCTTGATCGAAATTATCATAGATCAACACATATTATAGAAACTTGAATTACTTAAAATACAGTACATGTTATTTGAATTAAAACATTTCCCTCACTTTTGGTAAAAAGAAAGCTAGCATCTAACATTTTTTCTAGACCACAACTCTGAATTGTTAATATGTGTTTGAAATACAGCATAATGTTTGATTCCATAGGGACCCACGTTACACTCTCCTCCCGCCTGGGTCACCGTAGCTCACAAGTCAAGCAAGGCATGCTCCACCACAGGTGTGGGAAGCAGAATCCAAAATCTGCCAATCTAGGAAAGTTGCATGGGAAGTCAGCCAGGTGTGCACAATGCGCGCAGGGTCATTCTCATCACCCCAGAACTGAGAACTATAGGCAACGATGTGCAGAAGTTTTGACGGTCTCTACTGTACTTTTCCAACTTTCAACTACAAAGATTTCCCCCATGCTGGTAGCACTGGCAAGCAGTATCCTACGACTTGCATGCAAATTCATCCACTTAGGCTCTCATTCATGTCCTAAGAAAAGCTTATATACACCTGAATCTGAATTTTAAGATAGAGGAAAAAATTTTTCCCTTTCCTTTTCTTAAGAACTTCAGAAAATTCACTGGGATATTTTTACAGCTTTATCAAAAATCATTCATGAAGTAAGAATCTTTTCACATGCTCATCTGTCTGCTAAGGGTGTACCTTCCAACAGATGGTGTCACACAGTTAACAATCGCTTTCTGCTGACCCCTCCCCAGGGAGGTATGAAGAAAAAAATCTTAGAAAGGATGAAGTATAGTTCAGAAGAACGTGGTTGCTGAACCTCGAGGAGTTTAAAATCAACTACACAGGTGTCTGTTTAATTTATATTCCCCAAGATTTAGGTTAGTTTCCAACATCACAGGAAGTACCCAAATGAAAATAGCATCTGGATATAAAGCAGAAAAGTCACAAGTGCCAGGTTCTGTTCCTGTTCCCAAACTAACAAAAATAACAGCACTGCAGCTCATAAAAACTTCACCTACTGGATACACTCATGTGCGTGTGGTATCAACCCTAAGCCACAGATGTCGGCCTCATTTTATAGATGGGAAGGTCAGTGCCTTGGTTTCTACAATGAAATGAGAAAGACAGGAAATGCTGCCAGCATCACAGGATGTCTACGTATGAAAGCTTTTCATATCTGTAACAAAGAACAACAGCTCGTTAAGAATTATCTGTTTATCCAAATGCTGCCTTTGTCAAAAAGAAAACAAAACCGTTTTTGTTCATAATGATGGCTTTTTATTTTCAGTTCACATACACCTGCCCCTTTTCCTATACCCAATCTTATTTCTCTAAGGCACTTCTTACCTTCTAGGAAATGATACAATTTACATATTATTTTTGTCTGTCTCCTCCACTAAAACATAAGCTCCACGAGGGCAGGCATCTTTGTTTCATTTGCTCATCTAAGCATACACAACACTCTCCATGCCCCGTGAGACTAGCAACCAACAAACATTTACTGAAGGGATTCTTTCCCCGTATTCCACACATTAACTAAAAATGCCTCCTATGAGGTAACAGTTAACAGAAAAGCTTGATGGATATTCCTATGGATGCTAAGGGAACTGAGGTTTATTTTAATAACAGAAAGAAAGTCAAAAGGGTCCTAGTCTATAGCCATACATGACAGTATGACGCTTATTTCCTTAAACCCAGGGACCTCCTTTCCCTCTCCTCAAAATTCCAGGAGACTTGGTCTCTTGAACAATGTGGCCCGGGATGACCACAGAAATAGCTAGATTCACAATCACCTCTTTTTCTTTAAATGAATTAGAAGCTCACCTTTCACTTATTTAGAAAGAATTTGCAAGAAAGGCATACTTGCTTTGAGGAATAAAACGTTAATTTCATTCAATGAACTGACTGTATTTTTCTCTCCATAGCCCTTGTTTCAATTTCTGGATTAGAACACCACTGAAAACTATTCTTCAGCTCCTGTCCAATCTCCCACTCCCAACTCACAAGGAACAGTCGAACTCACACTGACCATAAAAAGCCTTTGCCAAGGAAATCTCTGAAAGACATAGTTTGTAAAAGAGAGAAACTACGGCTAACGACTATTCAGTGTGCCATCAGATGATACAACTCTGTTAAAAGGATGCCCATTGGGCTCCTGCTCTAACAGCAGCCAAGGCAAGCACCTCACCTGTTCTGCACCTTCCAGGTTCATCTCTTGCTGCCTTGTCCTGAGAAGCAGAAATTGGCTCATGGAGTATTTCTACTGAAGGCTGAGAGAACTCAGCAGCCTGCAAGAAAAGTCCCGCCAATTCCTGCCTTCTCGGTCAGTCCCTGCCAGCTCCCACTATGCCAGATGCTAACAAGAATATCTAATATACACACACACACACACACACACACATAAATATCTGTGCAACGTACAGAGTAATACACAACTGTAAAGAGAAATGAAAACTCTATTATGTGCTGCTATATAATGATCTCCAGAAGATTCTTTGAAATACAACAAACAAAGAATAAAAAATGAGGCGTATTACATTCCTGTTTATCTTAGGGAGAAGATGAAAACAGATGGAAAGATCAATAGAATTGCCCCGCCACCGCTGAGATGGAGTTTCGCTCTTGTTGCCCAGGGAGTGCAGTGGCAATGATCTCGGCTCACTGCAATCTCTACCTCCCAGGGTCAAGCGATTCTCCTGCCTCAGCCTCCCAAGTAGCTGGGATTACAGGTGTGGGCCACCAATGCCCAGCTAATTTTGTACTTTCAGCAGAGACGTGGTTTCTCCATGTTGATCATGCTGGTCTTTAACTCCCAATCTCAGGTGACTCACCCCCCTCTCAGCCTCCCAAAGTGCTGGGATTACACGTGTGAGCCACCAGGTCTGGCCACTCATATTTTAAAAGCATAAAGATTAAACCAAAATCTTAAAAAAAAAAAGAAAAAAAAAAACAAGAATTTTTTTTTAGCCATACCTTAACTTTTAACTATTCTTTAGTTATTACTGTGGAATTATGCACAAATTATACTTAAAACTGAAGCAAATTGGAATTTTTAAGCCTTACAAATGTAAACCAAAATAAAATGACTCCGGGTTTCAAGTTGGTGGCACACCCACATGGAGAGGAACTAGTCTGTGGAGAGGAACTAATTCAGTCATAGCTCTGTAGATTCCTAGTGGCATATACCCCCAGGACCAAGATGAGAAGAATGCCAAATTACATTTGGTAGTCACATACTGTGTTAATATCGTTAGTGTTAAAAATAAGTAGGTAATTATGTCTATGAAGGTAGGAACATTTCTAGATGAAGGAAACAGATATCCACAATATACAATCAAAAAAGTAAAATGAAATCTCTATAATCCTAAATTTGAACTGTGAATTTTAATATAAAGTCATGATATCATTTCTCATTAAAATGTATGTGTGTTTTCCCTCTAGATTTGTCCACTAAAGAGACACAGAAACAACCACCCACCTAGTAGATATCCTTAGCAACCTGTACTGTTTCCCACTAAAAGGAACCAGGACTCTTTAGAGAAACGGCTGATTCCACATCTGAGGCAAGAATTATACAAGATGCTCCTGAAACATCTTGTCACATGAGCAAACAAAACTTAGGAGCCAGTTTGAAGAGGCTCCCATTGAACAGAGATGGGACAATTTTAACTTCATAAGAGAGAAAATGCGCAATAAATCAAAACATCATGTATATTTAAAAGCATGCATTTGAAATAAGTCTTTATCAGGAAAAAAAACAAAAACAAAAACTAATGCTCCTGACAAGAAGTAATCACTTATCCTACTTCTCCCATATGAACTCTTTCTCAGGGCAGTCAAGTAAGTGGTGATGGGACAGCTCCCTTTATGGGATATCCAAGTTAATAAATGAAAAAGAAAGGACATAAGTAGAGTATCACTATTTTGCAACTCTTAAAAAAATACTAGATCTAAACAACAATCATCAATGAATACCATAAAAACGTGACAAGACTCTGCCAATAAAATTCCCTATAAAACTAAACAATCACACCCATTAAGTATTTTTGCCCCTTTTCCTCCCAAATCAAAGCTCACTCTAATCAAGCCTCAAGACCTAACTCCAAGTTTGCAGGAAATATGGGGGAAGCGAAACATGTTAAATGATCACCCAGGGAAACAACCAGCAAAAATCTACAACACTGGAAAACACCTGGATTCCTCGCTTCCTAAAACATCAGGAGTTAAGACACAAAGAACCTACAGGTTAAAAGAGACTCATCAAGAGGCAAGGTACAGTGGCTCATGCCTGTAATACCAGCACTTTGGGAGGCCAAGGTGGGCGGATCACAAGGTCAAGAGATTGAGACCATCCTGGCCAACACAGTGAAACCCCGTCTCTACTAGAAATACAAAAATTAGCTGGGCCATTCCATTCCATTTTTAGGTCGGTGATTGGTATTGCAGGGATTTTTTATAACACTTTTTAAGATATATATACTAAATATTTATAAATAATATCTGGAATTTACTTCAAAACTATCCAGGGTGAAGAGTAAGTGGAAATATAGATGAAATAAGATTGTCTAAGTGGTCTACGAGTTCATGGAAATTTGTTGTATTATTTTATTTCGTTTTGATGTTAAAATGTTCCGTAATAAACAGAAAGAATGTGTTCTTAATTCTGGTGGTTGTGAGATTTTCTAAGGCTCAAACCCCAGTGGCATAGGAACCACACTAATAGTTGGCATTATATGTAAGACGCCATTACATGCAAACTCCATTCAATATAAACTACAGGGCACTGTTACAGTGTTCCTGGTCTTGTGAGGACTGCATCCTCCAGGGACAGAAGGGAAATGCTGTGTCCTCTCATGGCTGAAGGGCAAGGGTAAAGCCTCTTTATAGGGGCCTTCATCCCACACAAGGGAGGAGCCCTCCTGGCCTAATTGCCCCTTAAAGGTCCCACCTCTGAATGCCATCACATTGGAAATATCTGAACTTTGAAGGTGATACATTCAAACACAGCACTGTCCTCTGACTTCAAACACAAAGTAGGAAAGACATTTAACCTCACTGAGTTCATCCTAAATGGAGGAAGTGGTACGTTCTATCCTACTTAAGTGTAATGAGCATTACTTTTTAGAAGACCTAGAGACTAAGGATCAGAAATATTCCAGTTCAAAAAATTACCACTGGTTGTTAGAGATCTTGACCTAATAAGTATCTTTTAAAATCACTCATCTTTTGGCCTACTTTTACAAAGCCCTTGCCATTTTAGTTAGATTTAATTACTAAAAGCCATTCACATGGAGAGTTTTTACAAAGGTACCATATTTCCTAATATTTTTTAAAATGGCATCAGAGCAGAGAGTAGATCAATGATTGCCAGGGCTGGAGGCTTGGGGTGGATACGGGGTTCTTGGGAGGTGATGAAAATGTTCTGGAATTAGTGGTGATGGTTGCACCTGGTGATACACTAAAATCCACTGAATCACACATTTTAGAAAGGTGGATTTTAAGGTATGTGAGATTTCAATAAAAAAGAAACAGAAAAAACTGATAGATAAATTTTATTTAGGAAAGTTTATTCATTCTTTGTAACTTTTCAAAAAATATAATACAACACAAGTAGTCAATTTCTACTTAATTTTATGGGTTTCTTTTTCCCCTTCCTAAAGGAGATAACAATAAGCCTAAAACAAAGAGCAATGAGCTCATGCTAATAATACAGCTTTGCCAGTTCTGGTCATAAATTAGGTATACTGTAAAAGTGTGGTGGCACCTACTAATGTCATTTTGTTAACGCTGCTGGAAGCTCTACTATCGCTAATACTTTAAACAGTTTCTACCAATTTGTCGTAAAAGCAAAACTTCCCACCCCACCAAAGATACCCAACTTTATTTAACCCTGCAGAATTTAAGGTTTTATTAAACATTTAAGATAAACTCTCCAAGACTGCTGATTTTATTTCTTTGATTAGTTAAAAGGTAAAGAGTTTAGTGTTGACCGTAAACTATATAAAAATGCCACCTGATAATGTATTCTAGAATAACTGCCTAATAAAAGCATGAATACAAATTAAACCCACCAATCTTAACCTTCCACCTTTCTTCACATGTCTATCTCCACATGCCGATGGAAGACGAAACTGAAACAAGACGTTCAGAAACACAAGAGGGGTCAGAGGGAGCAGGCGCTGTTATCACAGACCCAGACTTTAAAAATTAAAAACCGGTAAACATGTGGACTTGGCTTTAAGCCTTCCTTACAGATATCTCTAATTTTTATAAATAGAGTCTTTTAGTTATATTAACTTTAACATCTGTTTGTAAACTACAAAATTAGGGGTTCATAAAGCTGGCATGTTTACAAGGCTGACTCAGTCCTTAAGACACAGTTTGTCAGTAAATGATTAGAGAAGAGCAAATAAATGCTACTTTTAAAACTCACTGTATTGTAAGCCAGGAGTTTGTTTTTCACCACGTATTTCCAAAAATTTAAAGCACCTTCTTTTAATGAACTTCTTACACTCTTCTGTGAACCTTCCAAATACATAATTTACTCCCACCAAATCAAACCATATTAACAGGGGCCAAGAAATACTACTGGACACGAAGCAAAGCAAGATTAGTAAAAACACCATAGGAAGCTGCATCTTAAATATATAGCAGTATCACATGTCCAAAGGACACCCAAAACATAAAAGCAGCTAGCAGCGTCACAAATTGAAAATGAAATGTGTTCAAGAGGTTACATCAGATCAGCATAGAATGCCTATTTGAGAAAGATAAAAGTTTTCAAGGGAAATTCATCTAAAAGCATGTGACAATCTACAGATATACTTCCTGATACAGCAGAAAAATGTTGCAAATCTTTGTTTTCTAACAAGTGAACTGGTACCCAAAAGATATAAAAGGCTGTTCTGTTCATATGGAAGGGAGACCCCAAGAAGCCAGTCCAAGGAGGCCTAACGCTGACTGTCTATGTGCAGAATTGAGGGCAGTTAGGGGCTCCAATGCCCAAGGGACTGGCCCAGAGTCTGTCTGCAGGTGGGCCAGAGCCTCAAAGACTGGGTCTACAGGGAAATGAACTCAGCTGGCAGAAATCACCAGGGCTTTATGGCCCACAATATGGGTCCTAGTTACTCCATGACTATACAGCCACAAAGGAGCAGATATCAAGGAGAAGCAGGCTTCCCTGCCTCCCAAAAGATAAGGCAACAGGGGTAGCTACAGAGTACAAGAAACAAAAGTGAGAAATTCAGGATCCATCTATATACCATCCCATTCCCACCACTTTTGCTGAAATGATTGTATTTTTAAAATCAGTTGTTTTACTTAACTGTTTGGGGCAGAACAGCCAATTTTTGTTGAATGGCAGAAACAAATGTATTTTGATCACCAACCCTAACTGACTTATCATGTGCCTCTCAGCTGGAAAAAAATGCTTTTGGCACAAATTTCTCAGGAACAGTGCTACAAGAACAAAGCAGTTAAAAATCCACAGAAATGCCAATGGTTTTACATGTTGTGGCAGGTGAGTTCATTTAAGATGTCAGACTCTGAAACTGTGTCAGAGCAGTTGGATAAAGCAGAGTTGAAAGTTAAGACTTTACCTGAAAGGTATGCAACTTTTTCCTTCAAAATTGGCAAAACATCCATAGCTTTCATTTCATCGTTTTTTCGAAACCCTGAAATACAGAAGGAGGAAATAAAATTACTGGGTTGTTTGAGTGTCAGTTAATTCCTTAACCATTCTATTCAATGCCAACACAGCAGCTTTATCCACAGCCATTAAATCAACTTAAGAAACATCGTCATAGAACAACATTTTAATTCCATGAAGAACAGTCTGTGATCACAAAACTATCTTCTATTTGAATGTTGAATAATGATATGCACATAGACCAAGAGGCTCATGTCCTCAAAAGGCTCTCAGCGATTTCTAGCAATAACAGATTGGTCTCAAAAAGAGACAGGATATGAAATCAGTCCAGATTATTTACCAAATCTTCATTTTTATGTAGATTAACATAGATACCAGCAAAGAAAACAGCAACACTGCTTTATAAAAATTGCTGTTTGTGACAACCTAAAACCTCTAGGGGGAGCTCAATGCCTCATTCTGTCAGACTTCAGGGTCTGGTTAAAAACACAGTTGCAAGGCGGAGAGAGGGGATTATAAATAGCTGGGGCCTGGTTCTCTCCCTTCAGGCTTTCTGGGTCATGCCCCCTGGAGGAATGTCAATGGCTAATATGGTCATATGGCCCAGTGCCACTCCAGCTTCAGAGGTGGCCAAGGTCCCTCTTCTCACTAAAAACCAACTCTACCCCTATTCCCAATATCTTAGAAGGCCCAGTGGGAAAACTGTAGAAAAGAAGCATGCAATAGGCAATTTAGGCCAAAATCCATCTAAGCAAAAGGAGTTCTTGCAGCCCAAAAATATCTAGCCCAGCTCACTAGGGTTAATGCCTACATGGGAATTTGGGGTCCAAAATGTCCACACCCATCAGACTAACTCAGGATATTTTTCTTGGAGCTCTCTAACAGAGGTAATCTAGGTTCAGGGATGCCTACCAAAACTAGTAACTATAATTGTTAGCAGAACAATCTCTAGAAAAAAAAACAAAAGACCCCTTTCCCTTCCCCATTCTTGTTTTTGCCAAAATAGTACAAGAAAAGCACTGCAAATGCTAGTGTGGTAATCCAACCACAGCAAGACATAGACTAGGAATTAGGAGGAAAGGAAGGTACTGAAAGTGAAGGAATGAACATTTCACTTTTGGTGTCCTGAGCAGCAAGTCCTGCTACAGGCAACATTTATAAAAAAACGACCCTATCCAGGCACTGGAGAATGACAAAGGTTGGGACAGACAGCTGGAAAGGGAAATGACCCTGGGTACACATCCCATCATTAGGGCTGTTAGCCTGAGGACAGGGCCCCAGCTAAGCAATGTGGAGCTTTTAAAACAAGAACCAGGTGAGTTCCAAGCACCTCTGCTAAGGATTAAAGATCTAAATCAAACTTTGAGTCACCACCCACTGCAGAGACAGAGAATGCACAGTGCAGGCCCCGCCAAATTAGATGCCTGATAAAGCAGGCAAACAAGCAGCAACAAAATCGATACCTTAGGGAGGAATACAGCAGCATTAAGTCTGTACAACATATCATTCATAGAAACAAAGAATAAATCAATGGTGTGATCCGATTTCTTAATGTAAATTGTTCCTGCCTATAGAACACTTACATGTGTATAACGAATCCAGTTTAACAAGATTTAACTATGACACTGACAATCACCACAGACTTCACAGCAAACATATCAGTTGAGGACCATGGGGTCCTAGGGAGGCTACTTAGCCAGTCATGGGTAAACTCGACCAAGCTGAGGCCTCCACAGCACCAGGCCATTTTTGTTTCCAATGCACCATGCTTTGCACTGGCAACCCACCAAGCTTTGAAAACAGTGGCTATTTATAAAAGGCAAAACATCTGAGCCAAGAGTGCTGCAATTTCATCCTCAGGTTCCTTCAAAACTCTTGAATGGATGCAATCTAGTCAGCAATTCACTGCCAGTCACTGTAACTCCCTGAACGTGTCTGCAGAGACTGATTTCATCTGCCGTAGACACGGATGGCACTGGGCATCTGCAATACAAAGAGGACTAAGGCTCCCCAGCAACCCTCAGAGAGACAATCTGACAAACACCTACAAAACAAGGCAGATTATGGAATGTTCACAGGCAGCATGAAGTGCTATGGGACCTGGGCAAAGGAGGAGGGGACAGATCACATGATAGACAGAAAAACTAGGAAGGAGTAAGCGAGAGCTGTAGATCCCAATCTACACGTATTTGAAAGGAGGATTCCCCTCCTGTTGCTCAGATGAGCAAACGCATGCTTCCTGCCATTCCCCCAAACCCACGCCCAGGCCCATACATGTCCTGGCCAGGACACAGCAAAGGCCTCAGAAAAATGTCACTACCCACTGCAGCCCTGGCTCCGACAGAGCCCCACCTGTGAGTCACACAGTCATCACCAAGAATGTCCTGATCCCAATGCTGTTATCCCAATAGAGGGCTGTGTGACTTGAGTCATCATTCCAAAGCATTTTTGACAATTACTGCTAACTTTCTGAATCACACTTATTTACTGATACTCACAATGGAATGGAAAAATGGAAGTGAAAGCTGTCATATTCCAGGCCACCTCACAAGAGGAAATGCATATTGATTTGCAAATAGGGTGCAGAAAACAGAATTCAATTAATGTCTTAATTTCCTATGTCCCACTATGAGCCACAGACTCACTCCCATGTGACCTTCCGATTCTCAGAGCTGTAGTTATGTTAACCTATGGATCCCTCAGTTTCTCCCCAAATTAAGGAAGGCTCAGTCTTTCAAGATAAAGAAAAACACATGAATTAATGACAAACTGATGTGAAAAGGTACTGCACTTTTATTGTGATGTATGTACACGCCCACAAATAGACCAGAATATAAATTCTAACAAGTTTTACTATATTTTTGTAGAATGTCACTGAACGATGTTAATTTTATTGAAACCTTCAGTTAATACTTCTAAAACAGAAATGAAAACATACAAAGGGCAGAAATATAAAACTAACCACACAAAGAAACAGAGTTTGTTGTTATTGTGGTGGCTGGTCACTTAGGTATCATTTTATATCTCATTTCAATTAAAACACACACACACAAACACACACACACACATACACTAAGCAAAGGACTCAGGAAGCATCTATAAATACTAAAACCAGATTAAATATATCATATGTAACTTTCAATAAAAAGCAGGAAGAACCCAACCATGAAAGTTCCTCAGATCAAAAAGGCAGGCTGTGTTCCATGCCCTGAAGAGTTATTTATAAAAAACAGTGTGGGACTACAAAAACGTTCTAAAAATTAAAAATAAATGGCTTCTGTGCTATTCCATGGATTCTAGATTACACAGCAGATAAGACTCAACTCCTAGTGCTTTCTTCATTCATGCTTTAAAGGATCTAGCTGTGGTTCCCAAACTTACTGAACAACAGCAAATATGTGCTGCCCTCACTGGCCATCCCCTGGAGGCACACACTTCTCACCATCACAGAGAGGTTCAGGAACAGCAAAGACCTCCACGGAGAGACCCTGCTGGGATCCCAGACCTCATCTTTGTATCAAAGACCAGGTGTCAGCAACATGTCTACTTCTCAGCGCCACCAGGGGGGGTTGCCAATGCTACTTAAATAGGCGGAAGGGGGACTACAAAGAAAACTTTGGTAAAGTTAGGATGAACAGAAAGCCTAGATAAAGACGAGCGACTTGAGAGGAGATAAGCAGAAGGTAAATGGTCAAAATCAGAGGACGTTTAGTTTTACCCATTTTTTGAGTGATATAATTTTTAAGTCACACAGAGCCCATACTAAACCGTGCATAAAAGACAGACTGGATTCCTATTATAATTTGAAACACATTTTGCTACTATATGAAATACCGCAACCAGTGTGGACTCTAATGAAAAGCTAGCTTCAGAAAACAGTGAAACAGGAAGAATGGAGTCAGTCGAGGCTTATCGCCCGGTGCAGAAGATGTTTCCTAGTGGAGTCCTAAAAGGCAGGCAACAAATACCCTTTTGAACCAAGTCTACAATGAGTATGTTCAGAATGTTTACGCTAATATTTGTTGAATGCTACTGAGGAAAACAGGTTTGTGTTAAAAATCAGATTTTATGGTTGTCAACTAAGTATAAATATAGGTGGTGCTTGACGATTTTCTTTCAGGTTTCAAGTCAATGCACAAAAAACTGCCTTTCCTAAAACAAATTGGAATGTTTAGAGATTTTAATACACTCATTTTAAAATAACTCAACCCCAAGTTTCAGCATACTGTTTGCCAAAATTGATTCTGTTACCACCTTTTAAATTACTATTGGGTTCGACAGCATGTCAGTCTGGGCATAAATGTTAAATTTGCACTCTCAAATCACTATTCCTTAATAATAAACATTATATTATCCATCAAGTGAATAGTTCTCTTTCTCTAGATCAGCCAATTTGCCAGAGGACAGGTCTGTTTTGTTCCCTGCTGCATCCTAGACACCTAGGATAGGGCCTGGCAAAGGGCATTCGACAGATGTGGGGTGGATGGGTAGAAAGAGAGATGAATGGGGAGGCCGAGGCAAGTGGATTGCCCGAGTTCAGGAGTTAGAGGCCAGCCTGGGCAACATGGTGAAACCTCATCTCTATTAAAATACCAGGAGTGGTGGCGCCCACCTGTAGGCCCAGCTACTCGAGAAGCTAAGACAGAAGAATCACTTGGACCCAGAAGACAGAGGTTGCAGTGAGCCAAGACCATGCCACTGCACACCTGGGCGACAGAGTGAGACTGTCTCAAAAAAAAAAAGAAAGAAAAAGAAAAGAAAGAAAGATGGATAGATGAATCAATGAATGAACTCAGACAACAAATGAATGTGTTTCTCCAGCATCTTGTCCCTGAACCCCTACCCAAGAAGCCCAAAATCCTTAGTACTTTCTATTTTAGGTTTGTGAAATATAAGTTAGGTATAGTTTAGCCTTCAATCACAGTATGATTTATATTCATAAGATGGAATATTAACTTCCCTGCCCTAACAAGAAATATTCTACAAGTTATCATTCAACAGGGAAATATCTTTCCACTGAATCAA